ATCCTGATCTGCTGTGGTCCTGGGAAGCTGAGCCCTTTGGCTAGAGTGTTCTGGGAGTGGGAGCCGCAGAGTCTCAAAGATGCACTCATTGCCCTTCCATTGCAGTAAGCTGACAAACATTGTGCATCAGCCAGAGGCCTTTCTCTGTGCAAAGATGTGCCTGAAATACCCCAGCAAGGATTTTTGGATTGGGTTCTTTCCATCTGCTGTTGCTGCCATTTTTTCCTTCACCACTTAATTCCTCTCTCCTGCATTGCGGAGGCTTTCCTTTTCACTCCTATGCTCCTTGGGCACGTTCTGTCCTCTCTGGACACATTCTCTCTCCGACTTTCACCTATCCCAGCCTCGCATCCTCCTCTCTGCTCTGAATGCTGTATCCCTCTTTCTCTGATTTTTGCACTGAGGGGATTCCTCACCAGATCCCAGCTGGCTGAATGTTATGCAGAGCAAAGGCCAAAGAGCTTGACCTGATTTAACTAATTTGGTTTTAGCACCAGTTTGGATTTTGAGGGAGCGATTTCCCCTGGCAGCATAAGCCAGACCCTCTCTGTGTCCAGGCCTCGTTGCTGCCCCAGAAGGGCAGCGCCAGTACATGTCTCTTTCTGCCTGGAAATCCCAAACACCATTTTTAGACAGCCCTTTCATTTTATTTATTTTCCCTTCCTGGCACAGACAGTGTCTGCGGATGGCGAACCAGCAAGGAGCTGTGTGCTGCTTGCCTATTACCTCAGGTTTAAAGTGTCTCTTCCTATCAAATGCAAAGCAGAAGAAAGCAGAGCTTTCATGCCTTCTTTTTTTCCCCCCTCTTCCATCCGTTCTAAATTTATTTCCATGCCTTGCCGGTTTCAATCTGCATTTCCTGACCCTCTCACATCTCCAGTCACAGCCTGTGCTCCGAGCCTTCCTTTTGAGCTTGGAGTGAGTCAGGGGGGAGCACTGCTCTGGGCTTGGGAGGATACGATGGGGTTAAAGTGAAAGGCTTGGTTTTAACAGTATAATGTGTAACCCCATAATGACTTTAAATATTGATTATTTGAAGGCCATTAGTGCTTATTGTTAAAGAAAAGTCGATACTTTTTAAGCCTTGTGAACCATTTGTCTCCTGTTAAAGGACATATCAAATTTAGCAGCATGCAGTGCAAATCCCCTAATACCCTGCTCACAAGCCTCCAGCTGGCATATTAGGGGGAAAAAAAAAAGGGGGTGGAGGAAGGAATATGCAGTAACCCAGAATCGCTCTCTGCAAGGTAAGGACAAGGCTTATCAGATGTAATTGCCAAGGACTAAATTCACATTCTCAGAGTATGGAACTGTAATTCAGCCCTTACTCTGAGAGGTGGAAGAAGAGGAAGAAGGAAATTAACGGGGGGATTGAAGGCTGATATGTACTTGAGAAAGGATGCAAGGATTTGTGTTTTGGTGCACGTCTGTCTAAAAGCACAGTAGCCTTTGTTAAGGTCTCTGGGGCTTTTTACTCTGGGGTTGCCAGTTAATTTCCAAGCTTGCTTGGAAGCAGTTGGCAGTATCTGTACCAGGCAGCCTGGGAGGGCTTCCCAGCTCTGTGCCAGGACACGACCTGGTCGTACTCCCTCCCTCCTGTGCCAGGTTTCCATGCCAAGGATCAGGCAGATGGGCTGGAAGGGAGCAGTGGCAGGCTCCAACAGGTTCCCTGCCAGGAGGCTGGGTTTGTGGGACGGCAGAAAGCGTCTGTCCTGCGTGGTAACGCAGGCGGTGTGAATCACTGCTCCTCGGCAGCTCTGCAGCGTGAGCTAGGGAGTATCAGTCTACCTGCAGGGAGAGGAGTCCCTTGCCCCCAAATATTTATGAGCATACCTGCTTTCTTTCTAAGTTACCTACTGCTGGGGACTGATGCTGAGCATTAGCGGGATGGCAGGAGAGGTGCAATGACTCCTTCTTGTTTGGCCGTATGCAGCCTCTCTTCTCTGACTTCAGGCCCCAGACTCCACGGGTGTAACAGTGCCAGCGGCGGGACCTTCGGTTGGTCCTGTTTGTCTGGCCTCACCCAGCAGCTTTGCCCTATGCAAGTGTTTGCTGGAGAGCTCCAGTGTTGCTGAGAGAACGACTCCGGGGTCTCCGTGTGGTCTGCTCTGTCAGGCAGGCATGATGACAGCATGTGTAAATGTGTCTCCCTGAATTTTCTTCGGACTCATCCCCAGCATGCGTTGTGCGTGTAACATAAGCAGCGACTGACCTCTCACGTTCGAAGTCGCTCCTGATGCGTTTCTTACAACCCCTCTTACAACTACCTCCAGCCCCTTCCGAGCCAGCGCAGGCTGCTGTGCTCAGCTGGGTGCGTGGCAGCGCCATCAGGTCCCGCAGCAGTTGCCACCCCCCTTCCCCAGCCAGGGCACCGCTCGCCGGCCAGTCCAAAATATGAGCTGATCCCTGGCCCCAGAGGATGATGAGAGGACAGAGGGAATGAACTGCAGGGTCTCGAGCAGATGTGAATTCCTTAGGGATCAAAGTTAGGCCCTGTAGTGCAACATTAAAGCATAAAAATAGCCTCTGATTAACATTGGGCTGCCACCAAAGGGAGAACCTTTTATTTTCCAGCGCCCAGTCCTGATCCCCATCAAACAGTATGCTTCCTGGGCACAGATTGTCTCTGCTTGGCCAAAATCAAGAAGCTCTCTTTGTCTTTAGCATTTCCTTCTGAGCTCTCTTGTGTGCAGCCTGCACCTGGGGCGTCTGAGCGTTGTTACCTCTCGTACAGGATCCCCTTTTCTGCATTTATAAAAGGCAGGGAGGGCATGGCCACTGCTTGCTGGCCATGGAATGGTTAAAAGCGACTTGATTTCCTAAATTGCTTCTTATAAAACGAACAGCACGTCTGCCAGGCTCGTCTCCCCATGATTACAGCTAATTACGATCGAACGGACACCTCCTAGCCCCCGTCATGCCGCTTTAATTGTCCGTTATTCATCTGCAGGCTGTCCGGGGTGGCAAAGCACTTGGCAGCCCAGCGACCGAGGCCTCGGCTAATTGTGAGGCCTCGGGGATTAGGGCAGGTGATTACACACTTCATGGTGTAATTACATAAGCATCGCTTGGCTGCTGCCCCGGCTCTGAGCCGAAGGTCACGCGCTGCGTTACCTGAGATTAATTGGAGCTGCCACTGAAGTGCGAGGTGCTGGCGGAGCGGTTATACGATTAGCATTAACATTTCAACAGCGACGGATCGATCTGTGGCTCTCCTCCAGACACAGCGAGCTGTGCAATTAGTTTAGAGGAGAGCTAGGGGAGGAAGGAGGAGGAAAGGAGAGACGGAGACAGCCAGGGGATGGGGAGAAGGGGAGTAGAGGCAGACGGGAAGGGGGGAGGCAGGGACAGGCAGATGGGCAAGGGGTAGGGAGAAGGAGGAATACTGGAGGGGAATCTCAGCCCGTTCTGCGCTGTGGATCAATGTGTGGCAGTGCTTTGTAGTGGCTGTTGCATAGAATGAGGATAAAACTACACTGGGAAGATCGAGGGAGAGGACAAGAATCCTTTCCTTGCCCGCCTTCTCCCCAAAGAGTCCTTGTCTGGCTTTTCATGAGCCGTGGTGGTAATCCATGCCCAGCTGTGTGGGACGGGGGCATGGATGGCTGGGATTCTCACGTTATCCCCCACTTGCACGTCATCCCCCCACTGAAAAGGGGAGCATGGTTGTGCATATGGTCCGGCTGTTGCAAAGTCACGTGCACCTTCTTGCTCCCTTTCTCTTGCCCTCCAGTCTCTCCTGGAGCAGATTTTATAGGGAGATACTGTAAAATGAAAATAAACGGCACAGCACTTGGCTTTGCCTCTAGATGCCCTGGTGAAGGTAATAATGTCGTAAGTGGCCATCAAAAGGAATTAAGAGACGTGCAGCCGGAAAGCAGAGATTTGCTTGCAGGCTCCCAGGGCAGATTTGACTAATGGAAGAGACCTTGGTTTCTTTCTTTCTTTCTTTTTTTTTTTTTTTTTTTTTTTGGCCTTCCCCCCCCCGCCCCGTCCCAAACAAGCACTACCTGCCTTGCTTCCAGGCAATGTCCTCTTCCCCACCCCTCAAACCTGCCTCTTCCAGCTTACTTGCCACCTTATATCTGCTCTACCCATTCTGGCCAGCATCTTCTCCGGCAGTACTCCTTTCCACTGACCCTGTGGCACTTCTGCTCACATCCCTCTCCCCACCTCTCCTGTCTGTGTCTTTCTCTGCCTCGCTTACAGCTTTTCTCTCCAGAATTACAGATGACCTGTCGTCCCAGCTAAACCTGCCTCTTCCAGCTTACTTGCCACCTTATATCTGCTCTACCCATTCTGGCCAGCATCTTCTCCGGCAGTACTCCTTTCCACTGACCCTGTGGCACTTCTGCTCACATCCCTCTCCCCACCTCTCCTGTCTGTGTCTTTCTCTGCCTCGCTTACAGCTTTTCTCTCCAGAATTACAGATGACCTGTCGTCCCAGCTAGGACAGTGATTTTTTTTTTTTTTTTTTTTTTTTTTTTTTTTTTTTTTTTTTTTTTTTTTTTGCAAGGCATGCCAGTGATGCCTTCAAATCTTCCCAAACCCACTCTCCAGCTCCCAAAATATAGAATGCCTCTTCAGTTGTAAGGTAGTTGAGATAGAAACCCAAGCTTGCTAAGGGGACAGGCAGATGCAGCATCTTCAGCCTTGCCTTTGCTAGCCTTGGGCAGCCAAAACCCCTTTGAACAGCCCAGCTGAAAGGCCACAGAAGCAAACGTATCAAGATGGGAAGCATGTGGGACCTATGGAGTCCTGGCTGCTTTCTTCCTCTTCTGGTTCTGCTTCTTTTCTTTTTTCTCTCCCTTTTAAAAGTTTTGCGTATGGGTGAATAGGCATCTTTCTATCTCAGAATGGCCTTTGATACAGAATGCAGGTCATCTGCAGAAGGGTGTTCTTCCTCAGCCAGGGCCCTCTGGGCACTGTGGCCTCCAGGCCATTCCATGGCACTGTGGCCTCCAGGTTTTCAACATGCATTTATTTTCTGATTTCTGCAGGGAGATATCCCACCCACCGCCTCTGCTTTCACCCCAGAATGCACCCCATATTGCCCTGGGGCCCCACTTGAGACCTCCTTTCCTTGGGGTGCCTTCGGCTCTGTGCCAGACACCAGGTGAGTGCATAAGAAATGCTTGCAATCAGCCAGGGGAAGTGGGTAGAGCGAAGATGCAGCCTGTGACAAACTGTCCTTCGGCCAAACAGCCCAGACACGTTTTCTGTGTTTCCCCATTACTGTTGTGCTGACTTCGCCTTTGTTTTGCAGTGATAGGAGCAGGTTGCCTTGGCTGCTCTCTCTTTTAATCCCCACCAGCCTCCTTGGTCCCATGTTTCAGCAGCAGGCTGCACTGCCTTGGGAGTGAGGGGATAGATGGGCTCTAGAACAGAAGGGCAGCTCTCAGCTGCCCTTTCCTGCTCAGTTAGCCCTCTGGGGAGCTGGCCGTGAGTTAGCAAAGAGTCAATGCTGAGAGTAATAACCCCATTCTCCCTGTCCCCAGGTTACGGGTTCCTGCAGCCAGCACAAGCAGAGATGTTTGCACGGCAGCAAGAGATGCTACGAAAGCAAAACCTGGCAAGGTAAAGAGTGTAGGGGGCTAGCCTGCCTGGGCTTGGGTTGGATTTTTCTTTCCCTTTCTTAGCAGCAGGCAGAGTAATGAGGGGTGCTGTGTTGGATGAGCTGTGCAGAGGCCACAAAGCGGTGTCCAAGTGAGACCAAAGGAAGCAGTGTGCGGGTGCGGAGGTGACATCTTGATCCTGCAAGCTCTGGTTCAGCATGGCTGGGGGTTCGCAAGTTACTTGCAGAGCCCGCCCCCAACATTCCCTCTCTGCCTCTCCCAATTTAGGTTGGAGATGTCAGCCGAGATCATCCGCCAGAAGGAGCTGGAGAATCTCCACAGGCAAAGGCTACTGGCTGCCGACCCGCTGAGCCTGCATCCCGGCTTGCCCCCAGACCACCCGGCCCTGCGCAATGTGCACGACATCCCCGAGGGCCACCCGCTGCGGGAGGAGCTCTCCCGGAGGAACGCCATGCTGGTGCTGCGGCACAACAACACTCCCCTGCTCTCCCTCAACCCCAGCGTCCCCAGCAGTGCCACGCCGCCCAAGGAGCAGCC